CAATGCTTGGATGGTGGTTTGATCTATGAGGTCTTTCTGCGCCGTAGCCCAGAGAAGATTTGTGGCACCATCAAGAACAAGTAGAATGATATACTTGTTCTTGTGAAGTTCAACCTCACAATGATCAGCAAAAACAACATCACCAAAACATGAAGCTCTTATACCGGAGACTCTGGCTCGTGGCGGAGGTGCCACTGAAGTGTTACAAACACGGCAGTTCCTGACAACTGATTCATACTTCTCTAAAACAGAGTCAGGAAGCTTCAACATAGAAACACGTCTACGAAACTGAGTAGGACTCATATGGTAGTGCTTCACATGAAGCTTATAAAGCTCTACCTTGTCCTCCAGTCTCTGCAACATCTTCCTATATGCCGGTGTCATTGCAACAACTTCACTACCAGGTAATGGGATTGAAATCCGCCTAGGCTCAAGAGCGCCATCACCTGGTTCAAGTGGTTCATGTTTATCACTTGATGGTCCTTTTGATGCTTTAGGAATTTCTACAAGTTCACCTTCTGGCCTCTCAGGTGGTTCTGAAGGAGTATACCCCTCAGGATCATCACCCTTTAAATCATGTGGAGGCTCAGATGGTTTCGACTTGTGTCCTTTCCAAAATGGATCAAAACCCTTGGATGTATACCGAAACTTTGGCGGCGCAGGCTTTTCCGCGGCACTGGATGGTGCACCTTCCTTCTCTGAAGAGAAGCCTGGTTCCCTGTCCTTTGCAATGGGAACCTTCTCTGAGGAGGAGCGCACCACTGCATCGGGATCACCAATGCCACGGTGCTCAATGCCAGCCTTCCTGATCTTTAGATCTGGGATTTTGGCATCTGGCTTGAACTTAAAAATTGTTCTACCACGCCATTCATAGCCAATTTGTAGGTCCTTCCATTTTGGCTTGCGCCAATCATCTATCTTTTTGATCTCTTCTCCTCCTTCTTTCTTCTTGATGATTGTCAGTCGCAAGTCTTCCAGCAAGTCAGTGTCTACAGGACAGGACTTAGTTGCTGGGAAAAGAATCTTCCTGTAATCCTTGTGGTGACGTATCAGTTCTCTTTTGTGAACATCTACTTCCCAGTAATCAACCACAGGATATGCATGCTCAGCTTCATCTTCATCACTATTGTGATCAACAGAAATATGGCCATATTCATAGTGAGTGATGTGAGAGTAAAAACTCTTCTCGCGCCGAGCCTGCAACCGCACGTCAGACAGATACCATGCAATATCTTGGAAGTCCAAAACAAGATGAGTACTGGCTGCAACCTTCAACTCCAAAAATTTGATACCAAGAGGCACCGATGTCAGGTAAGCATGTTGAGGTGTCAGCCTGAGTTCAAAGCCTAAGTTCCTCATCTGTGGCAAGCTCATAAGCAAAGGGACTTCTCCTTCTTCAACTATGTCGAACTCTGTATTGTGGATCGTCCATGCACGATCATACATGTAAATCACCAGTTTCTGAGAGCAAGAAGCCTTCTGAGAATTGGCAAAGTAAAACTTGCTCTTGGTAGACTCAAAAGAGTACCATAGTCCACAGTTTGGGTGATTGTCGACATAGTTACAAAAATAATCGACTGCACGCCTTGATCCCATAGCTCTAGTGCATCCAATGTCCAGGATTGCAATAGTTGGCGGGAAGCGATTCTCAGTCAAAAATGAAATAGCCTGCATCTCTTTCACTTCTTCCTCAGCGCTCATAAGCGCAAAGCCATCAGGAGCATCTGTGAGCATCTCCTTTGACAAAGAGTACCTCACAGGGGCACTCATGTCATCGAAGATCATCTCACCATTGTTGACCTTACAGTCAGCTTCATCTTGACATGAGGTCATCATGCCTGACAGCAAGTTCACCTCACTGTCATTGACTTCAGCTGCTGTTGTCACACAATGCGCAAAGAAACCTTGGTTGCTTCCTGATGCTTGTGAAGATCTTGAAGGTGCAGGCAAAGAACGTGGCTGTTGTTGATTTGCATAGTTTGCATCTTGTTTGCCATCTCCTTTATCTTTTCCTTTTCGTTTCTTGCCTTTTCTCTTGCCTTTTCCTTTTCCTTTGTGGGAAAACCATGCTTCTTCAAGCTGTTGCCAAAAGTCATTGGCATCTTCATGTTCTCCTTGAAGATAGTCGTTCATATCTTCGGCAAGAATAGCATCATATGCTACTTGGTTTGACTCCCAAGTGTCCTCATAAGGATTCTCTTCAAAATACTCATCTGGATAAGTTGTCGATTGCTCATCAGCATAATGGCCTTTACCTCGTCTCTTTCCTCCTTTTCCTTTTCCTCGAGGTCTGAAAAATCTGCGGCCTGATCTTCCTTTGCCTTTTCCTTTTCTTCTTCCTTTTCCTTTGCCTTTTCTGGCTCTTCTTCCTTGGAATCTTCTCTGGAACCAAGAGAAATTCTGTTCATCATATACCCAAAAGACATCGTCCAGGGCATCAAGGAATCCTTCTGTTCCATCTTCTTCATCTTCGGCCCAAAAGCCATATGTACCATCAAGTTCTCCTTCGTCTAGTACGAGAAATGATCTTCTACCTCCAGCACCTGTTGGCTGCATCAGAGGATTGTCTACTGAAGTCTTTGTTGTGCAGAACATCTCAATGAAAACTGTCCTCAACTCTGTTGTGGTGTCTTGCTGCAGGACTCTACCACGATGAGTCATCAGAGAGGTCAAAGTGTTCCTCTGGTCCTGAGACAAATCTGCAAGTGACAGCATGAGTAAGGCAATGAGATTTTCTCCTAAAGGAAAATCGTTCTGATGAAGAATTCTCAGATTGCCGTTGACATTCTGCATGATTTCCTGAATTCTTTCCGCTGTTGGAGCTACTCCAGTCATCGCTGCATCAGCTTGCATCTGAGCTTGTACCTGAGGATGTATTTGTGTTACTGGATCCAACATGTCCATCCAACTGCTCATAAGCCTTTGGAGTAAAAATCTGAAATCTTGCCATCCACTTCATCATGTCGGCTGATCCGCGATTGAAGCGCACGAATTGCATATGCCTATACAGGAATACATTGGTTGATCCTTTCACAAAATATGGACGTAGTACTCGTTTGAAGTATTCTACTCCAGCTCCTGGTGGATCATTCGCCTTCAATGCATCTCTGTCTAATACACGTTTGTATACGGCTGCTTCTCCTTCTAATCTGTTTCTCAAAGCTGGTCCTCTCTTCTCATCCTCCAGCTCGGTGATATCACACCAATCGTCTATGGCATCCTCATAGGAAAACCATGAAGTCTTTCCATCATAAGATGGGGGCACCTTTGTAGGACCTGTGTTGTCATTGCTATAGCTGCTGGTTCTCTTCTCACATGCCTATTCACATAGGCTGCTGGCTCATAAGCCACATCCGCATCAGGCTCTTCCCAGTCGTCAATCCAATCCATGGCCGTTTGCCTAAAAGCAAGTCTATCCCTAGGAAAGGAGCTCACCTAAATCTTCCAGGATCACTGCTCCGCTACCACTGAAAGAGTGACTAGGGCGTACACGGTTGAGGTGCAGACCGCTAGTGTCTTTTATGCGCAGAGTCTTATCCTCTTGAGCCTTATGGCAGTCAAGTATGGACACACTAGATAGGCCACTGGAGTGGAACCTGTACAAGTAGGCCTCTACATTTCAGTTGGGGGGGGGCGCAGCGCCCCCCCCAGCAGCACACCAGATCCAAAGGTGAGCAGCTCGTGCTTGCTTGCTTTCTTGCTTGCTTCCTTGTTTGGTTTCGTCTCTGCAACGAAAACAACAGGAAAAGCAAATACAAAAAGAGAAAGGACCAGCTGCCAAAAGAAAGAAAGAAAGATAGATAGATAAATGGATAGGTATAGACAGATAGATGGATAGGCCAAAAAGCCAAAAGCCACAGAAGCCACGAAAGCCACGAAAGCCAAAAGCCACAAAAGCCAGAAGCCACAGAAGCCAGAAGCCACAGAAGCCAGAAGCCACGAAAAACAAAAAAAACCAAAAAAGAAACAAAAAGAATTCCAAAAATATATACCACTCCTTTTTAAAGTGGCCCGCTGGGCACCAGATTTAAGGCACTAAGCGAATATTCACCCAAATAGAAATTGCTCCCACCCAACTAATAAAACCCATTTCTTCCGAGGTTGTTTTGTGGCAAAATTGCGTCCCTTTGACCTTGCTGATGCCAGTCTCTCAGTTATACCACCATCTCACAAATTGGCTGATCTCAAAAGGCTCGGTCACCAAAATTATCAAACAACGAAGATCACCCAACGCTATTAAGTTCTTTCAACTTCTATCTAGTTTATCATCTTTCCTTCATAGTTTCTACATGTTTCTACATCGCTGTGTGCTGCGTTCTTCCTAAATTTTTTCCTCATGGTTGTGGTGCTTGATGACGTAGCTTTTAAGTTAAGGGTAAGAACCGCTTCAAAACGCCCACGCGGTACAACCCGAAAGATATCAAAACCGAAGCCTTTTGAAACAAAAGCTCAGCAGCGTGGCTCAAAGAGATGTATCCTGGTTCATTTTTCATAATTTTGCCGTCAAAGTTAGATTCTGGCTTTCAAACGTAGTCGAGCACCCCGCTTCTGAAGCGCACGACGGAAAACCGAAGTGGCTGCCAAATCGCACGGCCAACGATGCTTGGATAGAACTGTTCTTTTTGCCACGTGACCATCCGGTGGGTGAGTGCGAGAACATGCGGGAAAACATGGTTTTTGCGTGATGTGTTGGATTGGCGAAAGCAAGGAATGCGCACTTCCCACCAAGAATCCAGAAACACTCTGTCCACTTGAATTGTCGAGCAGCTTGGGCATGGTTGTTTGTGTATTTGCACTGTTTGGTTGACGTGCTTCCTTTTGCACGTTGCTTCGTCTCTTTGATCTTGTTGATTCATTTCTCTGCTGATTTTTTTCCCACCCCGTCTGGTGTTTCTTGCGTTCGTGCGTGGATGTTGTGGGGATTGGAGCCACAAAAAAGGACTGCTCCACATCAGCAAAAAAAACTAATTCTCCGATGTCTGCTCTTCTAAGGACGGAACATTGCAAGGCTTGTTGTTGTGGAAAATCAACGCCTCAACCAGAAAACCGTGATACAGGAAAACACATTCAATGACTGTTCCTGGTCACTGGTCACAAATGTTGGTGTTTCGACCCAAAGGGTTCACATGATTAGTAACTAGTGGCTTCCACCCTAGTAGCAATGGCCTCCAACCTGTAATCAGTTCTACGTTTTAGTTCGTTTTTGGAAAGCACACTCTACATGATCTGCTGAACCGGCTTGAAGGCCCTCCCTAGGCTCATGACAGGGTGACGATCAGGGTCCTTGTTGTAAGGGCAAGAACAAGTCCTGAAACAGCCGAGGCAACGTTACTAGGAGCAAGGACGCTACTAGGGGCTCCTGGCCTTACTACTAGTAAGAAGAAGCTACTAGGGGATCCTGGCCGTACTACTAGGAGCAAGAAGCTACTAGGAGCAAAGGGCATCGCTCGCTTAGTTCACACAACGCCAAGCAACTGTCTTGCACCAATCTATCTAGCAATGCGACGATCGACTGATTACGTGTGCTCTGTGTCTTTGTTTCTAAAGTTCTAGTAACCTAGCTATTTTCCTTGCGGCTTGTGGCTGGCAGATTGAAGTGCAGTGGGCCGGTGGCGGACACGCCTAAACCTGCATCAATGGAGATGCGGGGACAGTTTTTGGTGAAACCTTCACTCCTCATCTTCAAGGGAGGCCATCGCTCTTAGGGAGGCCATCGCTCTTACAGCAAACAACTCTTTGCTGCGACATGGACGGCGACGCTCCCTCCCAGAACTTCGAGGAGATAGCCCAATACGGAAAGGCGATGTGGTATCAGACTGAGCTGTGGTATTGGTAAAATCCACGCGGGCTCCTTTTCTAGGATGAGGCCAATGATGATGTAGCTTATGAAGCTTGCGTACTCAATAGATATCGGAGAACTCAAGTGACAACAATGCTCTCTATGAGGATGTCATAGACACTTAGTGTAAATTAGAACAAACAGTCGTGTACAAAAAAAACAATTCAAGACGGTCTGGAATTCGACGGATGCAACGTAAAACGAAGCGATGGATCGAGAAGAGCAAACGTTACATGCAAGAACATGACGGGCAAAGATGGGCAAAGTTTGAAACTCATTGATTGTTTTTGCATAACCATCTAGGAGTACTGAAAAACGTAAATTCTCATAACTTATCGGACTTGGAAGTCCATATCTTGACTTAGACACTTGCTCTTTTTACTTGAGTTACACTAGGGCTACAACTAGCTTGGACTGGGTTACGTGTAACGCGCCCGCGCATGACCAGCTTGAAAATTCACCGTCAAGTTGCAAGCATGTGTTGAGGGCGGGAAAAGATAGACCCCAGTGACCCCAGTGCGTCGAAGGGTCCCAAGGGACAGGTGAATTGTGGGCAGCGTCCTTGCTTCTAGTAAGGCCAGGAGCCCCTAGTAGCTTCTTGTTCCTAGTAAGGCCGGCATTTCTTGCAGCATTGTAACGCGTGGTCTTCACTGCAGTTGCATTTCACCGAACCGCTCAAGCGAATGAAGAAACCACAGTTTGCCTCCAATGACTTTGTTGCTCGTGCTTTTGAGCAGATTGTTGCCGTTGCTTGGATCCATGACACACTGCTTCTGCCTAGACAGCTGGCTCAAAGGACACAGCCCAGACCGCACAAACAGTTTGTCAACGGCTGGTGGTGCATGCTGCATATGCATCGCGCTGGCCTGGCACGCTCTTTAGTGGAACAAACAAAGCTCCGTATACAGCGTATGTACAGGGTTGGACCTACTAGTTACATGAAAGAACGAGCTAAAGTTACTACTACTAGGAGCAAGGACGCTACTAGGAGCAAGAAAGAGCTAAAGTTACTAGTTTCAATTCGACCCGTTCTTGACACTTTCGACTTCCACACAACGGAGCTCCCGTCATCTGCCGGAGGTGGATCCTAGCACAACGAAGAATTTGCACGAGCTGTCTGTGCGGCTGTGAAGCGGCTGCAAAGGACATCAAGTAAATTCAATTTCTACCCTGCGCAACTCCAATTTCTGAGGAGCTCACAGACAAGTCGCCAATCCGCATGCTTTCCAATAGTTCCACGGCGTTCCCTCTGCCAGTGTGCTGCTGGTAAATCCGCCTTGGAGACCGAACACCCCAGTGCTTTCTATCTGTTTCTCTTCCGGCAGAAGCCCATCTCCAAACTTTCAAGTGGAACTTTTCAGTTTCGGATGCTCCGAATACTGAAACTCATTAAACCTCGTTGATAACATGGAAGCTACTAGGGCAAGGGCATCGCTACTAGAAGCAAGGAGGCTGCTAGGGGCTCCTGGCCATACTACTAGGAGCAAGGTTCGCTACTAGTAACCAAGGGTTGATTCAATTCAAGCTGATGATCATACCGCGACCGGTGATTTGGATGATTGATGATGTGGTATCGGTGATCTAGCAAAAGGTCACGCGGTGAGATGTGGGTGTATAGTTGCGTCTTGTGCATCATGCTGTAGTCAAGTGTATGTAGTCAAGATGTCGGCAACGATGTGGTGAATCAAGCACAATCTTACGAAAGGGGTGCACTAAAACAGCACAGGGAAGTAACATCGTCCATGTGATGTATTTGTCGCTTTGTGCACTGGCACATGCAGGGATCTTTAACCGGAATTAGAACTCGAGCGCAAGCATTCGCATAGAATCTTCTCTAGCTCATTCTGTACACTGAGCGTTAGCGTTAACGTTCCAAGCAGGGATCTGTACTTCTACAGTTCTACCATTAACGTTCAGCTAACAGTTGGTCATTCTGCCATCAGGCTTGGAGCTCCTTCGGGCCTGATACCCATTCTTCGATGGGTCTCCATTCCGGCGGCATGTCGACTCTATAGACAGTTGCTGGTCTGCCCTCTGTCAGTTCCGATCAACGCTGTGGCAAGCAGCCTTGGACTCAGGAGCGGGTGGTACAAACACTACTAGGAACAAGGGCATCGCTACGAACGGGGCTCCTGGCGTTGCTACTAGGAGCAAGGACGCTACTAGGGGCTCCTGGCCTTACTACTAGGAACAAGAAGCTACTAGGAGCTTTTTGCTTGACTTTATGACCGCTTTACATCCACTTGCGCCCACTTGTAGTGAAAACGCAAAAGTTTGTCTCGGTGTGTGGGGTTGAACGCGTTCCGCACTACGCTAGCCACGCAGTTACCATGGTCTATTCCTCTACGTCCAGCAGGATCTGCACGGCTTGCCTTCTTGGACAGTTCTGCCCGCACTTGTTTGGCAGGTCACTCTTCGGCATCTCTTGCTCCACGACCAAAGCTGGATTTGCAAAGGCTCGTCAGAGTCAGTGCTCCTCAAGCTCTACATCCTCTCGACTTCATTGCTAGTAGGTTGGAGGCCATCGCTAGTACTGTAGGGGGAGGCCTTCGCTATTGGGGTGGATGGAGGTCATCGCTACTAGGTTCTTCTTTATTATGTCTTTTCTCGACTTTGGCAGCCTCTGCGCAACTTATTCTAGAATCCAATTAAAGCGTTCCAGGGCCTGTGGCTTGGGTCCTAGGTGGACTCACCGTCCAATCTATGAAATGACTGCAGCGAATTAGGGCAGGAGCGAAGGGTTTAGCGTGAAGTGCCACAGGCTTCTTGAGGAACGCTACGAACGGGGCTCCTGGCATCGCTACTAGGAGCAAGGACGCTACTAGGGGCTCCTGGCCTTACTACCAGGAACAAGAAGCTACTAGGAACTGTGCCCGATTTCATGAGGACAGGTCCATGTCAAATGCTTGGGCGATTGATGTTGACTGGTGTGGTTGTCGTTTTTGGCTGCGCCCGAAAACCCCAATCGCCATGAATTAATTCGGCTATGTCAAAAATTTGGGATAAATCACCGCATTGCACTTGTCGCATCACCACATCGCAAATGACATCACCAAGCCACAAATCAGGCCTTCACAAATCCCCTACAGCACTTCACAACAAATAAATGACCACACCAGATCCCCACATTGCAAGCCGCTACGTTTACACTTCACCACCCAAACCGGCACAACAGAACACGCAACCGAGTTTCCCCCATCTCTCCCTCTGAGCAACTGAGCCTCACGCATCCATAGCAACTTAATGCTAGTAGCTTCTTGTTATTAGTAGTAATGGCCTCCAACCTAATAGCGTCCTTGCTACTAGTAGCAAATGGCAGCTTGAAACTTCCTAACAATGCCTCCACCCTCCCGGGGCCTCCCCTGGCTCCAATGGTTAACTTACAGATTGACATTCTGTCCGACTCTGTCCTATCATTCGCCAAAAAAACAAGTTTGGTCCGGGAGTCGGACCAAAAGGGATCAATCGCTTTGCCAGCTGCGAGCATGATCTTGTCCTTGCCGCCAGGATGATTTTCGATGAACTTGGTAATGTCATAGACACCCTCCTGCAAAACGATGTAAGCTCGAGCGCAAATCGACATTAGCAATGAACATACCAACTGGGTGACATGAGCTTCGCACAAATCGACATGCACAATGCGCTTTTGGAATGTTATGAAGTGCGTCCTCTCCTTGTAGCTCACCCAAATACCCTTTTCCGCCGTTTTGTGTTTTGCCACCTCGCTGGAGGAATAGAGCGGCCAAGGCTCCGCCTGGCAGTCGCCTTGGGCCAACTGCTGCAACGCCGCGCGAACCTTCAGCAAGAAAAGGCTGTGAAAAAATAACCTGTAAGCGAAGAAAACGCAGGTATGTTTCAAACATGATAGCAAGGGGAAGTCCTCACTAGCACTAGCAGACGCTAGCGCCAAGGCAACGTTAAACATTTGCAGGAAGTTGAGGCAGAATGAGGTAAGGGAAATGAAGAAATATGTTTTGAACGCATAGAAGTTGGTGCCTGTGCAAGGCGATCCTCTGAGAGCCCAGAATTGGACATCTTGTCTTGGACCACATAGAAGTGTACAGCTCTGGAATCCTCTGTCGATATCCGCGCATCCCGGATGTCCAACTGCTGCTTCTTGAGGATCTCTGTGGCCTTCGCCGTTCGACGAGCTTCTCTGTTAAAGACCTGCACTTGTTACTAGAAGCGATGCACTTGTTCCTAGTAGCGTTCTTGTTACTACTAGTAAGGCACTTGTTAAAAACTGCATCTAGAGATGCTCTGTTGCCTCACTCAAAAGACCTGGTCGATCATTGTCGACGCGAAACTTGATGATGCTAGTGGTGCTGTTCACTGCTCCCTGACACTCGAGACAACTCAGTGAGGACAACCGGCACAACTGCAAAAACGAATACATCAAGCAAGGCTCGGCCTCACAGGAAGACCGACGATTGGACCTGATTAAAGCACAGGTGTGGGTGTCTGACTGTTTACCGTTTTTACTCCGACCTAGCAGTAAAAAGCAAAAAGGAGGTGATTAAGCAAAGTTTCCTATTAGGTTGGAGGCACTCGCTAGCAGGTTGCAGGTTGCAGGCCATTGCTAGTAGGCGAAGAAAAGTTCATGACGCCCTCTGTTTTTCTGAAGCTCTGGACGGCTTGAAGACTCTGCCACTAGTCACCCTGTTGTATAATAATAGACCGCATATATGGTGGTTGATTAAAACTAATTAACTATTCTTGCTGAAACACCATTTTTCGCCAATAACAAAAATACGTCCGCGAATCTTTTCTGGATCCATGTTTAACTTTCACGGGAGCACCTTGTTCTATCTATGCGTGAAAAATCTCTGCTACCTATGGCTCGCCCATCTACCTTGGTGAAACAGCGCGAATAAGAATATGCCAGATACTTGTCGGTAGCGCCCACGTGCTTTGCTCTTTTCATTCGCCGTGGACGTGATCTGGCAGCGGCCTTATGTCGACCTTTCAATCGACTACCATATACATGTACATGATGTCATACAAGGCACACCTTCATAAATGCACAAGCAATGGGACGCCCCTGAGCCCTAGACTTCCAGTCACTAAAAGTTGCGAGGGCAGCAGCAGACAAGTACAACAAAGTGTTGTCCACCTTAAGGACTCGTGAAGCACAATCGATCTCGAACTTGCGGACGAAGCGATGGCCTCCAACCTACTAGCGATGGCCTCCACCTTAATAGCGATGGCCTCCACCCTACTAGCGATGGCCTCCAACCTACTATAGCGATGGCCTCCACCTTAATAGCGATGGCGATGGCCTCCATCCTACTAGCGAGGGCCCCCACCCTAATAGCTATGGCCTCCACCCTAATAGCAATGGCCTCCAACCTATACTAGCGATGGCCTCTATGGCCTCCACCCTAATAGCAATGGCCTCCACCTTAATAGCGATGGCCTCAAACCTACTAGCGATGGCCTCCACCTTAATAGCGATGTCCCCCCACCCTAATAGCAATGGCCTCCAACCTACTAGCAATGGCCTCCAACATACTAGGGTGCCCCTGGAAAGACTGGTCTCTGTGTCCTATTGTTACTGTCTAGGTGTTTGAAGAGTCAAGGAACTGTACGGGAGCCACGCAAGTGGCGACACCACGGAAATCTGTAACTTCCTGCCACTGTACGGCAGAACGCCATTTTCCTCTGGCGCCAAAAAACACTTGTCTTCCAGAAAGGCAAAACGCTTTTGAGCCGAATTGCGCAGAGCGTAGCAAGTAAATGCGCAAGTGAATGCACAAGCGATTATGTGTAAGCAAGCTCCGTGAAGGACTCAGTATGATACTGAGATGCAGTGCACAGATTGTGGAACGGCCAGTTTGTCTCTCCGGTCTTTTTTCTAAGCCTCTTGCCAAGTACATTGAGCATCTATGCATGCAGACTTGGAAGACTCCAGTGAGCAAGGGGGATTGCCCATGCACCAGCCTCCAAAATAGTTTTGCCCTTCCCACATGCAGCCGGGCATCCACATGCATGCCTCTTTGTCATTTGTGAAACTACAAGCAGGGTTTTGCCACCGGCTCCAGTCACCATGACAGGAGACCTCTTTCCAAGAATTCCGCCACTCACATGGTCTGTCTATCTTCGTTCTATTTGCACTCGTAGCATCTCCTGCATCTCCGCTACTCTCCTTCAAGGTCTTCACATTCTTTGCTTCATTCAAGCAGTTTTCCTTGTCTAAGTGTGAGCACCCCTCGCCAACACACAGACCGCCATAGGCAGTCTTTCCGTCAGGAGTCTGGCAACCTGGAATATACGGGCAAATCTCTGGCCTCGGAAATCAACAAATGCAGAGAACTTTACGTAGAAGTTTGTCAGGAGCTGATGATGCACAATTTGATACACACTGATAATGATTACTCATCGTTATGCATAAGCATATATGAATTCTATGAAGTGGATTCAACGTGAAACTTTAACCGTTTCTGCCAAGTCCTTTAACCGGGCAAATTCATTCTAAGAATTGGCTTTTCTCCACTGTTTCCTTCTGAATCTTTTTGCTCTTATTATCTAGTTGTTGTTTTAGCTTTCTCGTTTTGGGAGCCGCTTCTTTCAGCATTCAAGGAAGCTGTCCTTTGTTCGGCGGGACGGCGTGAGAAGATGTTTTCAGGTCGCTGCACGGCGATAACCGCCCAACACAAGTACCATTCATCCACTGCATGGCACCGTTCATCTCTAGGTCCTGTCTCGATCATGCATATGGTGTAGCTGCATAGCTAGTTGTTGCAATCACTTCATTTTTCAACCCCCAAAATTGTTCACGGGGCCTAAATCATATCCAACAGTGTGGTACAGTCTTGTTTATTTCCCCAAGTACTGTACTCGTCCTCTGCACGCTACTGTTCATATCCAGGTGTTATCTCGATCATGCATGCTGTTTCATTACAAGCGTTCATCTCCAGTCGTATGTGGATCATGCTTATTGCATAGTCATATATATATATATATATATCATTTTTCCACCTGCTGAGACGAAGCTTCCCTGGCATGACATCAACCCCCCATCTTAGGAGAGACGTCAGACATACAACCTGAAGAGCTCTTCAATGAAGTAGCGTAGCCACTCAACAACGCAGAAAGAACCACTGAGTAGTGGTCCACTGAATCTAAAGCAGCTTTGCAATCAACAAAGAATCACTCAAAGAATCACTCCAACTATCCAACGCTACCCCGTAAGGTCAAATGTCTGACGGATGACAGGCCAGGAAAACTTGGAAAGCTCAAAATTTTTTGCATTGGCCGAAGGCTTGAGACTATGGATGAGCACAAACTCGACCAACGACCGCGCCAGGCAACACAGCTCACGTCCTCCGATGTGGTGTAGAGGTAGGTTGCTCCGGAGCCCCGGAGAACTCCAGGTGTTGCGCCGTGTTGAAGCTGTGAATGTGGCACACGAAGAGATTGCATGATTGAGTTCCCTTGTTTGCGAAAAGTATTGATAGATCCAGGAAACAATTTGTTGTCCGCTTCTAATGAACCAAAAACTCTCTGCACTACCTCAATGATCACAGGGTTGTCAACGCGACCGTGTTAAGCGAGCAAATCGAGCTGTCTTTGGTTCGCGAATCTTTATAAACAGACGTGCGCTATCAAAACAAACGTCAGATGGAAAAGTCAAATCTCTCCGCTGCAGCGCCATCATTTCAGAAGGATGCAGCATGGCACCAAAGCCTTAGAGGACTATTGCAGTCCAAGCTGGCTATTGCCACAGCAAAGCCAAGGTGATTGAAGCTCTGATGACGACCGGTGGAAGTACCGGTTGGCACGTCCCTGGCTCGTGAATCTGCCACTTTTTGTCAATCTGCCAAGCTAATAACGTAAACTGTCTACATAGTGGATATAGTTCCTGAATCCCGGTCAGTGCGTAGACGAAAAGATACCTTGGCAAGCCAGCTTCAAAACAGTATAAACCCTACCCACGTAACGCCAGACAGGTTGCATGAGGATCTTTGACAAGGCTTGACCAAGTCAAGCTTGGAATCCATCAACACAGCGCTTCATCCTATCTACAGTCACAGCACCAAAGCCAGTGGCCAAGTCCAGAGGGCCTCCATAAACTCGGTCTCCTCTCGGTCCAGGATTGCGTTCAATGTCAACTCCAAGCAGCACATCGGCCGCAAAGCTTGGGGCGCGGCTGGATTCAACGACCAAGTCAAAAAGGCTGCTGTCCCCACCCTGCAATCTGCAGAGCCACTCAGGCAACTCTTTGGCTGGGGCTTGAACTGGACGATCCCTCGATGGATCATCTGCACGGTTGTCGGCACTATAGCAGTGCAAACACCCAGGAAACAATGATGTAGGGTAGCGTGCCCTGAAGCACTCGGCTGATGGCAAAACTGCTAGATCTCAATCACTCACTCACTCACTCACAACAGATCACCATCCTCATCCTCTTCACCTTTCCCACTCATATCATCTCAACATTCCGCGTGGCAGGCACAGCATCCAGAGCCTCTAGACAGGGGCTGCGGCGCGCGTTGTCGCCGCTGGTGCCGCTTGCTTTCTTCCTCGTGGCAGGCGCAGTAGCCAGAGCCTCCAGAAAGGGCTGCGGCGCGCGTTGTCGCCGCTGGCTGTCCTCCTGGCAGGCGCAGTACCCAGAGCCTCCAGAAGGGGCTGCGGCGCGCGTTGTCGCCGCTGGTGCCGCTTGCTGTCTTCCTCGTGGCGGGCGCAGTGTCCAGAGCCTCCAGAAGGGGCTGCGGCGCGCGTTGTCGCCGCTGGTGCCGCTTGCTGTCTTCCTCGTGGCAGGCGCAGTATCCAGAGCCTTCACAGAAGGGGCTGCGGCGCGCGTTGTCGCCGCTGGCGCCGCTGGTTGTCCTCGTGGCAGCACCCAGAGCCTCCAGAAGGAGCTGCGGCGCGCGTCGTCGCCGGTGCCGCTGGCTGTCCTCATGGCAGGCGCAATTCCCAGAGCCTCCAGAAGGGGCTGCTGCGCCGCGTTGTCGCCGCTGGTGCCGCCGCAGTGTCCAGAGCCTCCAGAAGGGATGCCATTGTGATTGTGCGCTGCTGCCATTGTGGTTTGCACAACAAGGGTTCTCATTGGTTCGGAATCGCATTGTAATGGCTGCGGCACGGATGTTTGCAACATGTCTCTGTGCGCTACTGCCATTGTGATTTCCACAGCAAGTGTTCTCACTGGTTCGGAATCGCATTAGCAGCGGCACCGATGGTTACCCGGCTATCCAAAAACCCAACAAATCTGCTATCAGGACTACTCTTAACCAAAGATTTGATCCAGGGTTTAAAGGTTCGGGTCTCAGCTCTCGGACGGGCTGGACCAATTTCTCTTTGAGCTCATGTCAGCGATTGATCTACCTCGCTGTCTCACGTTGGCCGATCGTCACGGCAACTTAGTTTCGATCGACACAAGGGTATGGGCCACCAACGTCTACACGCTGCTCCTGCCTGACAGCTTCCCCACTCTCCATGTGGTTCGCAAGTTTCCTGCAGAGACGGGCTTTGATCCTCGTGGGGCAGGTCATGATCCTTGTATCATCATTGAAGCGCATGGTCTCACAGACAAGCAATTGATTCACGCTCTGGATCAGTATTGCTCCAGACATGGAGGGGACTTGACATTCCTGTCTGGACCCCGCAGTTCTTTCATCGTCTACTCCAGCTTTGGCCTGCTATGGCTCATCGCAGTGTTCAATTGCAAAAGGGTCAAGACGATCGAGCCCTTGGCCTTCAGGGACATTGGCTTGCTCTGGATCTTCAATGGATTGAGGAAGTGCTCCAGGTTACTGTTTATGATGGCTTATTGCGTCAGCCTCCGGCAGAGATTGAAGCGATGCTCAAAACCATTGCTGTGGCCACTTGCTCTACACTTCATCTCCAGGTCCAAACGCTTATACCACAAGGTGGAGGACACCACCATGGCACCATTGCTTTGCTGCACTTGCTGCATCTTCTTGGCCTGCCCTGTCAATGCACAGAAGTGGAGGCGATCCGTTGGTACGACACCCTTCGCGCGCAAGATACCACTCAGCACAGAGTGGACCCCTCGGGGAGGCCTGTGTCCTCTGCTGAACCTTGGTCGCTTACTGGATCAGGACCACATGCGCACCACGATGATCTCATCAAGTTACTTGTCTCAAAAGGAGTTCCTGAAGATGCTGCTGCTGACCGAGCAACTGAAGTCATCAACAAGTTAGGAGGTGCCATCATCAGTCATGCGTTTAGATCAGAAAACGCATGGTCTTCGCTCAAGCAAGCTGCAAATGCTCCGGGCTCTCGTATCAGGCTTGTCACTCAGTGGGAGCAGAAGCAGTATGTTGACAAAAGAGCCAGAGAAAAACATGGAGCTGATGCTTTTCCTGCCAAGAAGAAGGGCAAGTCTTCATCAGACGCCAGCAAATCCTCTCGACTCACGTTGGCACCTGAACTCCTCAAGATTGATGCTGCTCATTTCAGGGATGAAGATGACCATCCATTGGGCCAGATACGGATCGAGGATGTCATTGTGAATGCCACCGGCTTGGCACTTGTCACTGAGTACACTGCCAGACAGTATATCTCCAACCCTCAATCCATTAGCACTGGGGCCCTTGGATTGCTCTTTGTCGAACTTCCTTTATATCCAGGGAATCTCTGTTTATGTGTGGCTACCCCACACTAGCAGAAACTATCAGGCCAGAATCAGGAACCATCAAGGAAAGCATTGGGAACTATACCAGTAAAAGCAGGATCTATAAGTTTGAGATTGGGAAATATTTTTGTAACTTCAGCTAAGGTTTGCTGTGCATCCTTTACTTTCCATATACATGTAGGCTGCAAAAGCGACTCAGACAGTTTTTTCCCCAAGGTGCTGCTATGCTGTTCTCGCGTTCTGCCCTCTCCACTGCTTTTCTCTATGCTGTAGAGAGAGCTCTACAAAAACGGAACACCAGCCCACAGCCTTTCATGCCTGAACAATACTATAGACTACGTGACTACGTGTAAATAAGAGGCACTATAAGAAAATAATATGGATGCTGGATGCTACAGAAACAAAAAGACAACAATTATACGTTTCGATGGCTGTTCTACTGCTACTTGGCTGAGACACTTGACACAAAGGCTTCGGTGTCCTTCAAGGATTGGAGCATCTTACAGGCACCTTTCAATCCCCGGCCCCTACCACTACCATTCAAAAAGCAGCACAGCCGCTGTGGCCCCTAGTCTACATCCTTCTGATCAGCCTCGGCCGTCTCTGCCTGAGACTTACGCTTTCTCGATCGGTCCCCCTGAGCCTTCTCTGCGGCCTGGGACTTGTCGCTTCGGCGGCTCTTCTTCTTGGGCTCAACATCAGGCTCATCGGCTTTCTTCTTGAGTGATCCTGAATCGCTCCCACTCACTGAGTCACACACTTGGGCTCCCAGCTTGGGAGCGACTTGCACCAAGTCTTTCTTGGTCATGCCAAGCTTGGAACCCTGGAAGGCCATCACACTTCGGATCGTCTCAGGAATCTTTCCCTGATGCTTCGGATTGATGAAGACATCGGCGGCAGTCATGACGGCCAACGTTTCTGCAACTGTGTGCCTCAGAGCCTGGCCAAAGTTAAAAGCGAGGCGGAAGACAAATATCTAGCCCGAGCTCCCTCTCTAATGGATTTGACACTCCTAGGCCTAGGCCCATCATAGATTTCAGAATCCTCTAGATAGCAATGACTAAACTAGACTAGACTAGACTATATGACTATATGACTCACATTAATAAACAATGACACTGACGGACTGGGGACCCATCATTCCATGAACTATTGATGATGTTACGGCTTTCCTTCGAGGACCAGGTCCTGCTAAAAATCACCTCCATATAGTCCGAGTCCGAGTCCGACTGTTGCACAACTTTGCCACCTTAATGACTTTCTACGTCCTGATTCTAAGACTAAGACTCTTACAACTAGAACGACTAGAACCCAATTCCGAATTTGTTTAGCCTTCGCCCTTGGAGCTGAAGGTTGTTTCAGGCCACCTGGCCTGCGCATGGACTGTGGTCTGCTTCAAAGACGCTGCAGCCTTCTCAAATGATGCGGACCCACGACCGAGGGTGATAATCTTCTCTGCAGACTTTGCCATCTCGGACAGCTCACCCCTCAACTCCAACATCATGGCCACATCAGCGTCAGTAGTTTGATCATCTTGGAAGATCCACAAAACTGGCTCCATATTCCACTCAGCCGCAGCGCTCTTGACTGACCTGAAAAAACTGTAGCCCAGCCCCAGACCCGTGGTATTGAGTGGTATTTGGCGGCTATATACATGATGATTCATGATGATGAGTCGAGTATCAGTATGAATGATGACTCTGACTCTGACTCTGACTCATGAATAGAGTCCTACAGTCGGAGCCGGAGTCCTACCTGCAATTGGGATTCGTATGATTTGTACGTTACGTAAACGGTAAACGGTAAACGTATGATTCCGGATGATGATGCTGGTTCACATCAATTTATGTTTACACAGTGACACAGTGCATATCGTAAACAGCATTGCAGCATTGATTCACAGAAAAATGAAAAACAAACGCTTTCTATGTCATCCAACAAACTCATACTTCTTGTTCAATTTCTCCAGCTGAGAGATGGATTTCTTGAAGCAATCCAGATGCTCCGTCAATTTCTCGTCAACGGCAGTGATGAAGAGGTCGCACTGCTCAAGTTTCTCGGGGCTTAGCTCTTTCATCAACTCTTTGTTGATTGAAGCAACTTTTGTGTGCGTGGGCATGATCTCAGCCACGTCAGCAAACGAGTCGCCAATCTCCTGACTCAAGTTGTCACTGCACAAGTTGGCAGTCAAGACACAACCTTCAAGAAACTTGGTTGGCTGGCTCAAGGTCTTGCTGGCATCAAAGGGTTGACCAGACTGGATGGACTTCTTCAACCATGCCAAACCCTGAGCATCCAACACCTTTGTCAGGCGCTCCAACGCTGCGTTGAATTCCTTGGCCGCCTCGGAAGTTGGAGAGCCCTCCTCGTCAGAGTTTGCCATTTTGGAACGCTGCATCGCCAAGCGCAATTTGGTGAGCAACTTGCAAGCAGCATCCAGTGTGGCCTCGGGAGAGGTGCCACTGCAAGCCTGTTGGAACTCACCAACCAAGCCGCCAAAGTCGGCCATGCCGCTCATGGCCTTGCCCATTTCAGTCTGAAACATCATGGCGACATCACCTTAGTAAAGTCAAATCAAAATACGTCACACGCAGCAAAGCCAGCAAAGTAAGAAACCAGATTGCTGGGTCCGGAATTCCATCGCAACCCGGTGCGGCACACGGTACTGTACGCTACGGTGTTGTACACTGCTACAAATACGGTAGGCTATCGATATCGACATTGTGATGCATGTAGGCTAAATATAGGCATCAAATGAAGATGAGAGGAGAGGATGCAGGATACAAGAAACAGTGAGATAGCTGAGATAACCATTCCCTGGATCTCGATACTGTATAGACCGATAGACTGGACCTGGATAGACGGTATGGTCGATGGCTCTAGTCCATAGTCTAAGTCTATAGTCTATAGTTGTCTAACTTCTATAAGAGCTCTATAACTATTGCTTGCTGTCCACATCATCATTGCAATCTTATCTTATATATCATATCTTTTAATCTGTTGAATCCCCGAAAACCTCCTTTCCCACCCAAAGCCTGCAAAAGGCCGACATGATACTTCACAGTCCATTTGCAGAAACAAGCACCTGGTGAGTGGTGAGTGTCAATCAATGCGTTGGTGCAGGTGTGAAGTGATGAATCTGTAAATCTGCGTGAAGTGTGCAGCACGCAGCATGCCGCATTTGTATCACTCTGTCAACATCAACAAATGCAATAAAAGGCTTTGCATGAAGCAGCTAACAACGGTAGAATTATCCTCCCAGTTCAAAACTGAAAAAGGACGAGACGCGGACAAGCTGGAAAGAGCCCATCCACTCAGCTTTAGTGATCGAGCATAGGCTGGCCTCTTCTGAGCCTGGCTGCGCCCATTGTTGCCTCAGCCAACCCTTGACCGTGTCATAGGTCGCGCACACCAAAGGCGAGAGCACATCGTCAAATGCCTTCACCGAATCGTCCAATGCCTTATAAGGACCTCTGCAGCCTTTGGGCTGTCATCCGTCGACATGCTGGAAAGCTCAAAATGCAGAGACTGAACGCAAAAGCTGCCACAGTCTTTGGCCACCTTCTTCAGCAGCTGCAGCTTGTCGGAGTGTGTCCGAAACTCCTCCATGGCTTCATTGATGAAGGAAGAAACAGTAGTTCCACTCTCAACCAAGCGCTGGGTATCCATGGCCTTCTTTCCCTCAGCCAGCACCTTCTGCCAAAGCTGCCTTGGATAACAATGATCGAATGCGAATTCACGTATAGCCCGTATAGCCGTATAGCTGTATAGCTCAGGAACTAGGCTAGTGAATCAATGAAAGTGAAAGTTGGTGTGAAATGGTCTTGAAATGGTTCCCGGTCCGTGGTTTTCCTTCTTTTAGGTTGACTAGACTATTTCGCCTAAGCCTAAGTCTAACAGTGCTTCAGAACTTCACTTCAAGTGTCAACAATAGAAGTCCGGCAAAGCAAGCCTTCAGTAGTTTACGTTTAAGTTTGGTCGGAAGAACTTACCAAGATGTGTTGCTATTTCATCTCCATGGCCCATGCTGCATGGCCCATTACTGTATCTTATCTAGGTTATCTTAAAGTTATATATTAGTATTATTCTGCCTTTTTGTCACAATGCAAAGTTTCTTTCAAATATGCAATCGTGTCTCTTCCATCCTTGGCTTTGCCGCTGCGCCAATGTCACACGGGAAGAGTAGTCAGCACCAGCAGCCTCCCTGAAATGGACACGGTCCGCGTTCGAGATCGGTGTTGATGTTTGCTCGAGCTTGGCAAGAAGAAAGCAGCAATACAGCGGCTGAAGGTCAGTAAGTACTTGGATACTGAAGCCGGTTTGGTTGTCAAAGACTTCTGGAATGGCAGCTTCAATGCATAGCTGATGAGGGACACCACCCCTCAGGGCACAAAGGCTAGCAATTCATTCCAATCACCCAATGATGAGATCATCGGTCACCCAATGAAGGGATAAGAGTCTAAGAGTTCAATGTATTAGCGCTGCCTAAAAACTTTGAAGAAACTGGAAACTACCCACTCAAAGTCCGTGTAAAAGATTCAGATTCAGCCATCAAATGATGAATCATGAAGAATGCAGAATGAATCATTAATATTATGTAATATGTAACTGTAACAGTAGTAATAGTAATATATTGATCAATCAATGTCAGAGTAAATTATGAACATGAATAATAATCAGTAATAATCAGAACCAGAACAAAACTGAATAGAATAGATCATAGATCATATAGATCTATAATTTCTGGAATCGGAATAGTATATAAACCTGTACATTTTCCATCACCGTCCGCCTACCATCCCGCTGCTGGGTGTTTTGTATGAACGCTACAGACGCTACTGCTACTGTTTGCAGCCCAAAGTATACCCCGATTGAAGTTGCGCAAACATGGTCCTAACACCGATGCCGCCGATACCAGTTCATACGAGTCGCCTTGTGACTAATGCTGAGTGGTCCAGTCTAATTAAAGAATCCTGTCTTAAAATCACCTGCCTCAAAATCTGCACGTCCCCCGCAAAGTTGATGCTCTTCAAAGCTTTGCAGCAAAGGGAAATGATCTTCGAAAGGGGCATCTGCTTGAAAGCTTCGATCCAAGTGTGAACGATTGTCATTTGGGTTCTGAGGAGAGCACGGTCCAAGGGATCACTGGTCCCGAAAAGGCAACCAAAGCTGAAAAAGGCCGGCTCGCCCTCGGTGACCTTCTTGGTGCTTAAGAACTGAAAGAATGCCGTTCCTGACTCCTGCCATAGGGCCATGGGCCATACGGGCCATACGTGTCATGTCACATTGTCACATGTCACATACCGATATATGATATACTGTATCAGACGGCACGTGTCTAGCCGTTTGATGTTATCAAAAAGCACTGCGTTACCCATCTAAGCTAGCATTCTGATGACTTGCAGCTGGTACCAAACCAATTTGAATGTCTCACCAAACGAGTTGATATTTTACATTCCGAGTCCGAGTCTTGTAATTTATGGACTTATTTTGGTCAGTAACTATGTCGAGTCATGCCGCCATATCCATATCAACGGCCGCTGCCCTCGATTGCAAAACACATTTTTTCACAGTCACACCCCCGATCCTCTGACAGTTTGTTCCCAATGTGCATCAGCATGGTGGACAAGCACTCAGCATCCATCAGAGGCAGTGCCTCGGTGAGCTTGGTGACTGCATCTGCATCCTTCAAGATTGAAAGGACCTGCTTGCTCCCTCGAACTTGACCCAAAATGTCATGGAGGACTGATATCTCGTTGACTCGTTTCTCCATTTGTGAAGCCAATCCTTCCATCTCATTCTTGACCTGGCAGGCCTCAAGAGTGGCACCTTGTTGGGCGAGAGATGCAGCGCTTTGCGATGCTTTCTTGAGCCTTGCTAGGATGTCGCTATCCTTGAAGGAGTTCTTCCAAATAGCTGGAGCAGTCAAGGGCGCCAAAGTGCCCATAACTTTGGTGGCCTGTTCCATGGCTGACTTCCCTTTATCCATGGCCTTGCTGCCGGAAGAATTTGCTGCTTCCTTTGGAGGAACAGCAGCCGGCGCTTTTCCTCTGTGCCTGGTTTGTGGCGCCCCACCACCAGAACCACCATTGCCAGCACCACCACCATTGCCAGCGCCACTGTGCTGAGCTTTGCCCTTTGGCCTGGCAGCGCTGCTTGGAGCGGCAGCTTTGAGGCCGAAATTGCTGGAAGCATCACTGGCAGCTCCATCATCCTGAGACGCCGCCTCATCCTTGTCACTCTCTTGGTCTTCTTTGGTCGCAGCGGCAATCGCCTCCTGGAACGATGTCAGTTAGCGGACCGAATGAGGGGACATTATAACTTAGCTGTCAAACTAGTGGCAGGCACTTGTGAAGCAACACAACATGAACTCCAACAACACACGCGCATAAATATATATATAATATATATACTGTACTATATACGAGAGTCAAACACCCGTCCATCCCTACAAACATTGCGTGTTTTTTCAGAATCAATATCATATGAATCATATCATGAAAACAATACATGTTCTGTCCCAGATCCAGACCGGACACAAAAAGCACCAAACCAAACCACATCATTGCAGTCGCTGCATTCCATTGTCGCGGGGACAACGCACAAAAAGCAATATGTGTTTGTTATTATATAACTATTATTTAAAACATGATATGTTATTGTTATACAGTTATACAGAGTTATACAGTTATACAGTTATACAGTACTAACTTAAAGGGTTGATTCCACCCTAAAGAATTGCTATAGACTATAGACTATGGATTGTCGTCTCTACGGTACAACGTCTCTACGGTATGATGGTACTGTTCTTACTTGCCTACACCCAAGCGTATCACGAAACTGTCAAACTTAGGAGTCCTTGGAGTTGCACTCCACGCCGAGCCCTTTAGAATGCTTCGCTTGTTGGGCAAGAAGTTCTTGACGATCGTAATCTTCTCCCCCAAAGTTCATTTGTTTGATCTTGGTAGCGCTGAGTCGCTTGCCAACTCTGATTTCCTTTTGCTCAGCATCTGGCCCGTCTTTTGGGACGGCAACTCCGTCAACCCCCGACTCATCTGGCTGTATTTTGATGCCGCGCTTGAGTAGGTGCGCTTTGCGCTGGCTATCATTCTTGAATTT